TAGTAATACAGTATTTAAGAGAAACATTTGGTTATTTTTCAGGCGGGTTTGCTCTTCTAAGTTCTTTAAATATCAAAACTTCATACTTTTAGTCATTGTTTTCGTTAAAATATAGTTACAGTATATAAAGTATATTTCAAATAATGGTTTATGTATTTATGATTTTCTTTTTTTTAAAAAAGAATCGATGTCGACATCTGCTGAATTGAATAAGATTTAATTTATGTATGTATTAAAGCTAGCGTTCGAATTTTTTTTTCCATGGGTGAATTACGTGACAATGTAATACACAATAATTGGAACCAACAAATTTTGAGGTTGCTTTAATTGGATTGTCGGAAATTGGAGTAATGTGGGCCCTATCAAATAACGAAGAAACAACGGTGCAACTGCAAGGCCTCAAATAGTAGATTAGATTGGTGGAAAAGTAGAATTAGGATGGATTCGTAAATACGTGCTATTCAAACTTTGATTATGTTTTTTTGTTTCGTATTGATTTATTACAATCACAGATCCACTAAACCATTTTCAGACGTATAGTCTTTTGTTTCTGATTGTTTTAGGAACATCTATTCTATTAAAACAGAAGCACATTTAGTGACTACATCCAAACACTCCTAAAGTTTTTCTTATAATATTTTATTTAATTTCCGAAAATTAGTTATTAATTTAGATATTTTTAGATTTCCTAAAATCTAGATCATCTTTAATTTAAATTTCAAATTATTAGAAATTTAATTAACTTTAGTTACAAAAATTTGCATTCAATTTAATTTAAATTCAAAAAATTCAAAAAAAATTATAACTAAATTTTATTACGAAAATTTAGATAATAATTTTAATACTTTAAAATTTCTTAAATAAAGGAGAGATTTAATTTAAAATTTTAAATTTAAATAATATTTTTATAAAAATGCATAGTAAATAAATATTTTATCTTTTTTTTATCATAATCAATTGGTCTAAAATATCAAATATTTGAGATTAATAAATATTTATATTATACAATAATATAATTGAGCTGATTAGAGTTATATATATATATATATTTAAGGTCCATGAGTTAATTTATTAAAACATGAAAGATATTAAGATGATTTGAGATAATTAAACTAACAGGTTAGCACAAATAATAAATAAATATCTTATTATATTTTTTTATAATCAATTGGTCCAAATATTCTATATTTTTTATAATCAATTGGTCCAAATATTCCATATTAGTAAATATTTATAGGGTTATACAATTATAATTATAGTCTTATACGGTTTAGTTTGTCAAAACATGTAAGATATTAAAAATGATTTAAAACAACTAAACGGATGGATTAACAAATTCATAGATATATAGATTTTTATGTGTAAATCTAAATCACATAATAACCAAGTTTATAATTAATATTAGACCCCCCTCCCTCCTTAATTAACGCATACTCGCTCTTCCTCCTAATATACAAATTTTCCTCCCCAAAATTAAAATATAATAACAATTTTTTGATTTAAAAAAATAAATAACAAAAACAAATTATATCTAAACAAAAAAAATAAATACAACTTATATTAGAAATAAAAAATAAAACTCTCGTGCGGACGCACAGGATTAAAATCTAGTTCTTTAGTTAAAAAACTCACACAGTACTAATATTTTTGTGTTCTACTACTCATGATCCTAATAACTTTTTTTCAGAACCAACCTTTCATAATATGTAAAACCAACTTATAAAGATTCAACCGTATACTTTCTAAACCGACTAATCTCCATCAAACCGAATCTATACACTTTCTAAAGAACAACCCAAAAATAAGAACAAAAAAGAAACCTAAAAACCAAACAAAGAAGCCAGATGAAGTTCCACGATAGGAATATAGTACTCTAGCATACATAAGTCAGAAGTCCCTTCGCATCTTCTCCTTAAGTGAGACTTCCTTGTATGATTTGATTTTTCCTGCAGCTTGCCTTAAAGGTCTTCCAACAGCAGTTTTTCTCATCTCATCTGCTTCATCGCCTCTTGGAATGATCTTCGATTCTCTTCTAAGCTCCACTAAAACTGAAGATGATACTTGACTAGACTCCTCAACAATGTCATCGTGCAAAGGAGGATCTGCGGATTCTTTGATGACTCTCTGAGGTTTAACCTCTGTAGATTGTCTTCTTGAAGAGACTCTGTCAAGTATACCATTTCGATAACAGTCTTAATTCTTTAATTTTACGGCATAGAGGAAATTTATCTATCACTACAAAACCTGCTTTTCCCGGTTATCTCTTTCGTGTCATGTGGTTCCACTGCTTCGGGCTTAGACCCGGTAGACTGATCACTCGCAGAGCATCTGAATTTGCATTCATAACGAAAACAAAAAAAGCAGAAGTGGCATAAGTGTTTACTTAGTTTATGAATAAGTTATCAATCAACAAGATTGGAAAAAAGAGAACATGTGGTGCTTCTACAAACCTGGCTTTTGCATCAATCTCTTGATCATCATATATACCACTCAAGTTTTCAGTCACGCTCAGCTCTTGGATATTAAACCTCCCAGACTGTCTTCTCAAAGAAACCCTGCGAAAAATAATATCGCATCTTAGCAACCTTCTTAAGGGTACATTAACTTTAAAGACGGCCTAACGCTTATGGAGACCTCCTCATGTTGGTTTTGGCTATTGGCTCTCCCGCTCTGCCAATATCTAATACTTCGGAATTTGCAGGATTCGTCCTTCCAGAAACTCTGATAATATAAAGGAAAGCAATAAATCCAGGACAACCAGATTTCCCAGATGACAGTGGATGAAACATCAAGCAGATTGAGCAAGAGAGAGAATGGACCTTTTATTGTTGGCTTTTTCATTTATCTGCAATGCGTTAACGTTGGAGCTCTCTGAAGCTGAAAATAGAGCGATAAAAGGGTAAGGGTATTAAACAGTTCCTAGGTTCCACAATGATAACCAAAAAGCTGACATTGTATACTCGACTGTTGCTTTTTCTTACCAGTCTTATGATTCTTGCCATTTAGACGAAAGTATTCGCAAGCCCCACCAGGAGTATTTGCCTGAAGGTCACAGTAATGCAGAAGAAAAAGTCTGAACAATGGACTCGAATGGTGATAATGACCTATTCCAGAGGTCCGCAAAAGCCAATTCTCATAAGTACCTCGTCTTCTGATGCGTGGCTGTGTGTACATGGAAGGTTTTGTTCCTGGAAAGAAAAGTTTGCAGCTTCTCAGCTATGTAACATTTTAGATAGTAATTATGGTCAACGGAAAATCACATACAAATTTAAAACAGACCTCAAGCAGCAATTTCCTGACCATGAGTAACCCATTCTTGCAACTAAGTTCGTGCTGAAGTGCCTTCAGCTGAAATGCACAGAAAATTCCAGCTGAGGAACTTATAATTAATGATCAAGCAAGCCTGTGTTTGAGCAACTTGGGTTCCAGAAAAGGCATACTTGGTCTTTGGTTGTATTGATCTCCTGCCAGGAAAGAATAATGATAAATAACTTTGTAACCATAGGGTTCCTAAAATGATATATCTAAATGAACCATATACAAAGTTGAGATGTACCGCCAAGATACGAGTGTTGGTTTGGGCAAGTTGCAAGTTCTGTTCTTGAACCTTCTGTAAGTTGATCCTAAATTTCTGCAGCTCACTTCCATTCCTCTTTATGATTTCACTGTAGTCACAAAACAACAATAAGCGTTAGCAACAAATTAACGTACACAAAACACTCTCACAAGTTTCATATTTTAGAACACGAAGGTTGATACTTTCTCTGGGCGAGGGCTTTCATCAGTCTCACGTTTTCCTGCAAAAACAAGTTGACAAATCGTTCTAATAAGTAAAGTCAAGGAATGTCAGAAACATTATCATGAGCTCAACAGGAAAATGAATAAGCAGTGCCTTTTGAAGTTTTTCAGTGTAATCCGTAGAAGACACCAATATAGCTTGTTGCTGCTGCTTCGGTCCCTGGTTCGTTAGAATGTTCTGATTCTGCAGGTTTGTGATATCCCCCAGTTTTCTCCTCTGTGCACTGTTCATCGGAGGTTCCAGAACCATTTTATCTCCTTTTGCTTTGTTAGTAGGAACACCTGCAAATTTCAACTGGAAAAAATCAAATAGATCATGGTAAAACTAGCATTATCGTGTATGAACAGTATAAAAAACTCAGAATCAAACCCTAAAAATCGACAACGAACAACGCCGTCCCCAGAAATTCCAAGCAAATGAGATTAAATCAACCGAATGCGAAGAGGAAGAGGAGCAATTGACAAAGGTACCACAACAGATTAAATTATTGACATTCGATTTACGATTGGGATCAAAACCATATGGAAATCCGATTGAAAGGATCTCTCGAGATGTGAACTCTCTCTACTTGGAATTAAAAACATAGAAATCAGGAAGACAAACACAGAACGCGAAGAGAGAAATAGTAAGCAAGACTAAATCCGAACCTTTAACGGCGTGATCATCGGCTTTAAGAACCGTCGCTCGCACCATTGTGAAGGCGGAGTAAAACCCTAATGGCTCTCGTCGCGACCGGGATCGAAATTGAATTCCGGAGGGAAAAAAAAGAAGATAGAGAGACAGGGAGAGCGAGTATACGAGGCTAAAACGGTAAAACCAAAACTTTTTGGGAATGTTCCGGTCAACGTTTTTTTTTTTGGGTTTGTATCTCACCAATCTGATTGGTATTAAAGAATATCAACAATTTGGTTCGGTTGAAGCTAAACCGGTTCGTTTGCTTTATTCAATCAATGACGTTAAAAGATTCGTGTGTTTTGTTTCGGTTGAATCTTTTTATAACTGTTTCCTTTGTTTTATTCAAAATTAGATTACAGAATCACAGAGAAGCGAATCAAATAAGATTTATCCAAGAATATGAGACGAGTCAAATCTTCCGCAAAGCAGCGTTCGTCGTCATGGTCGATGCCACAGGAGTTTGCAGAGCTCTGCCGGAATCTCTCCTCCGATTAAAATCAACGTGCAAGCAATGATACACTCTCATCACCGAAAATAGATTCATCAAAAAGCTCTTGCATCGCTCCCCATAACCATTCTTAAGAGTCGTTGAGACGGTGCACAAATCATGGATCCAGTGACTGGAACAACTTCAGTTTCACCAATCCCAAACGCGTTTCAAGGTCCATATGAGATTTTTACTATGGTTCACTGCGATGGACTCATGCTTTGTATGTATGGTGATCAGAGTCTCGGACTCAAAGACGTTCACCTCACAATTTGGAATCCGTTAACGAGAATGTATATGCACCAATTCATAGCTGTGCCTAATGATATAGAACGTATATGCGCCAATTCATACAAAACTAATAATATTATTGTCCAAATTTCCTACAAAACAACTAATAACAAATATCATTACAATAAAATAAAGATAAGAATAAAAGCCAAAAAATATATTCTAAAACACAAACTTTTTCCATCTTTTTAGAAATTGCTAACTAATTTTTTTTTTTAAAACACCATTAACCAAACTTTTAACCAGATTTGTTTCGAGAGACTAGATAGTCAAGCTATTTAATATCTCTTGATACATATTCGAATGAAGATAAAACTCTATCAAATTCGACCAAACTCACTTGATTGTCTCTAAATTCATTAAATTCATAAGACTACAATATATATCTAAATTTTCAAATCATACTTTCTTAAAGTTGACAAATTAGTCATTTATTTGACATTTGTTTGTAATTTATTTTAAATCACAAATTAAGTTAAATTTAACATTAGATGAAATAAATTTATAATTTGTTGTGGAAAAAAATTGCAAGTTTTCAAAACTTCAACGATGAAGAAGAAGACAAGTTAAGGGAGAATTGTAAATTTAGGATATATTTTGTAAACAATTGTCCCTATAAAACTTTTTGGAATTTTGTCACTTTTAGACTTAATTACCCTTTAATTAAGGATTATATTAATTTCAGAAATTCGAATTTAATGTTTAAATTTTTTTAAAAATTTGAAAATATCAAATAAAGAAATAAATTAATTCTCGAAAATCAGTTATGGAAACTTTTAATTTTTAAAAAATTATTTCCACAATATGTAGAAAACGTATTCTACATTCTACAATTTTATAGAATATGCTTTCTAGATATTTTTCTACAATCTACGAAATCTAAAATTGATGTTCTATATGTTGTTCTTCATTCTACGATATTTATAGAATATGTATTCTATAGATTCTTCATCGTTATACAGCTTATGGAATATATATTCTACATTTTACTAGAATGTGTATTCTGTTATAACACATATCATATATGGACTCTTATACCGGCCCATTAGGCCCATCAGGGCATTGTACTTAACCTAGATTCCCTATGTACTTTATATATACATTCCAGTGATTAATAAAGTTTCTAAGTTTTCACAACACGTTATCAGCACGATAAGACTCTCTGAGCGAAAAACCCTAATAAATCCGGCCACCACCAAAACCCTAAAAGCAAGTCGAAACTTAAAAGACGCATATCTTCCAAACCGTGAGGAACCAGAAGACGATCTACATATCAAATCGAAGCCCTCGACGAGACGAATCTACTGGTGAAAACCGTTTGTCGATCCAACGTCGGACGCGCCCTCACGCACACTTACAGTACACGACGATCAACCGAAAAAAAAAAAACCAGATCCGAGTTTTTCCTTCTTCAACCAGCAGCTTCTCCAGTTTTGGTGATCAATCCTTGGAATTTGTAGCGGCTAACTGAGGTCTATTAGCTCCCAGTTTCATTAGCCTGTCAGAAATCCAAAGGTGGAAAAGGTATCTTCTAAAACTGAGAGCCATAGAACCTGTTGTTTAAACACTTCAAAACCCTATAAAAAAAAAAAAAAAATCGATCTCTAATTGATTGAAAGTGTTTGATACTCTGATGATTGATTGATAACTTGTTGATTGATTGTTTAAATTACAAGTTTATGCATGTTCAAAGGTTTTAAACTCGTTTTATAAAACCCTAATCTACAAAAACCTAACAACCGTTTTTGGCCATGTTTATGGCATTAACCTATTCGATTTTCTTCATGTTTAATAAGCTTGTTGCAGCTTATTTTGATTGTTGATTCTCTTGCTTGAATAAACTAAGAAAATCAACCCTAAATCCTAAGCTTGATTCACGATTTTGTAATCTTCAAAATCGTAAGTCATAATGCTTAAACCCTAGTCCTTTTCACGTGATTTCTTTGTTGTCCTTGTGAAATTATTAAAACCATCGACCACAGATCCTATAGATCTCGAAATCACATCCAAAATATGTTTTCCAAACCGTTAAAACCCTAGATAAAACCCTAATCATATTCGGCTCCCCTAGGGTTCCTCCTAAACCGCCTAAAACCGGCTAAACCTGGTTCTCATTAACCGAAATTATATTCGGCTTTAACCGATTAAATCACAGCTATTAAACCGACATCATGTTCGGGGTAACTAAAACCATACCCTTTAAAATTTACTATTTCCGAGAAAGTTCCCTCTAATAGAAAGTTTCCTCATATAAAAACTTTCCTCATATAGAAATTTTCCCGACATAGAAACTTTCCTCATTTAGAAAATTACCCAAATTAGAAACTTTCCAAATTTAGAAACTTTCCTAAAATAGAAATATTCTCAAAATAGAAAGTTTCATCATCAGCATTCAAAATTTTCTCAAAACAATCCCTAACAAAATCAATCTCATGTTTCAGATGTCAAACATTCAGAAATGTGAATTCGAGGCCCTTCACGTCTCCGGGGATAACTACCTCGAGTGGGCCCTAGACATGCGCTTGTTCCTCGCATCGAAAGAACTCGATGCGTGTATTACCGACGGTAACACCGCATCCCGTAAGGGACAGTCTCAGGCGATATGTCACATACGCCATCATCTGGCCCCGAGCCTTAAGCAGCAATATCTCACTCTTGAGAATCCACTTGAATTGTGGCAAGCGCTGAAAAAGCGATATGACCATCAGAAAATGGTCCAGTTGCCTCAGGCAGATTTCGACTGGAAGAACCTTCGGTTCCAGGACTACAAATCCGTAGATGATTACAACAACGAACTCTTTCGTATTGTTGCCATCCGGAAACTCTGTGGCGAGGATGTGACAGATAATGATCTCCTCGAGAAAACATTATCCACATTCAGCACAGAGAATGTTGTGCTCCAACAACAATACCGTGCAATGAAACACACATTGTACGAAGACTTGTTGTCCTGTCTTCTCCTCGCTGAGAAGAATAACCAGCTGCTTATGAGGAACAGCGCTATGAGGCCCCCGGGATCGGCTCCTGTCCCAGCTTCTCGTCAAGAGTCCTACCATGTTCAACCCGATAGATCCTCAGATCACCGTCGTGGACGTGGTAATGGACGTGGTAATGGCCGAGGACATGGACGTGGAAGACGTGGACGCGGACATGGTCGTGGCAACCGACCTAACCTCAGTTATGGTCCTGGTCGTGGTCGAGGCATCACCAAGCCGACCCGCCACACCAACCCCGATCACTCTGCTTGTACCAGATGTGGGATGTTCAACCACCCAACAAAGCAATGTCGCACCCCCAAGATCCACTGCGATCTATACCAGAAGTACGGAAAAGCTCCTGCTGAAGCCAACATGACTCAGCCAGTCGATGCTGCTAACCTGGAAGGTGACGACCTCCTTGATGATGAGAACACCACAAACGAGCAGACCGACCCCATGGACTATGAAACAGCTGATCTCCTCGATTAATTCAATCATCTGAAACTCTGATACAATTTGATTTTGTTCTTTATTTTTTTCATTTTGGGATTTGTTTCATTTTTTTTTCCATTTGCCTTTATTCTCAGACACTGCTTTACTTTATGATTTATCACATTTTCTGAATTCCTCAATACTGAATTCTATCTTCTATTCATAATAAAGCACACCAGCAAATGGAAACCATAGTCGTAGATAGTGGATCCAGCCACACTATCTTAAGAAACAAAAGTTACTTCATAAACCTAACCTATCAAACCGCAAATATTAGCACCATCGCGGGTCCCTCAAACCTTATCGAAGGATATGGCCATGCCTATGTGTTGCTATCAAATGGCACACAACTTGAAATACCAGATGCTCTATATTCTCCTAATTCGAAGAGAAATCTTCTGAGCTTCAAGGATATAAGACAGAATGGTTTCCACATAGAAACCCAAGGTCAAGGGAACAAAGAATCCCTCCTAGTCACTAAAACCGTAGACGGCCATAAACAAATCCTCGAAACCATACCCGCGCTCTCTACTGGACTTTACCATGCTAAAGTCAGTATGATTGAAGCTAATACCACTCTCAAAGCCCGGTTTACTGATTATACTATTTGGCACGACCGACTCGGTCATCCCAGTGCAAATATGATGCGTAAACTAATTCAAAACTCTCAAGGGCATACCCTCAAAGAAAACCGAGCTTATCCTCAACATCTTATGTGCACAGCTTGTTCTCAAGGCAAATTGATCACTCGGCCTTCACCAGTTAAAATCTCTAAACAAACACTTCATTTCCTAGAAAGAATCCAG